GGGGGGGAGGGGGAGCAGACGCGATCCCTACGGTGGCCACGGGCTGGAGCAGCAGCAGGCACCAATCTCTGCACCAGGGTCTGCAGGTGGTCGTGGATGGCATGGCCCTGGTCCAACAGCGCCCACAAGCCCTCCCGCCGCAGATGCAGGTCTTCCTCCACCCAGCGCTCCTGGCAGCGGACCTGCCTTGCATATAATTCCAGGTGCTGTCGCTGGTACCCCTCCTGGTTCCGGGTCATCCTGCTGGCCTGGGTGCGGGAGGCTGTCCTTGGCGGGGTGGTGCACCCTGCACTCGCAGCTGGTGCGACTGTGGAGAAACCAGAGAAGTGGTCATTTATCCCTGGGGCACAGTGGGTAAAACCCAGCCCCACTCTGCAAGGCGAGGATGGCAGGTCTTTGCACCATCATGTCCTGCTATCCCTCGGCATGAGAGTTGGCCCAGGACTACATCCATGCCCCTGTGCTGTATATAGTGTGGGTGTGTCGGGTGGGAGGGGAGATGTGCTCTGTCTCTGTGTAAAAGGGCTTCTGGAGGAAGGGCATTGTGCAGTATCCCTCTCCAGGGTCAGGAGCATGTCATGTGCCTTCATACATACATGCCAGGGTACCACGGCCCCTGTGTGGCAGGAAACGGGCCACATGCCCCGGCTGGCACAGCACATGCACAGGTTGCTGCATGATCCGTGCTCAGCAAGGCCCACACGCACAGTCCCTGGGCTCCCTCGCCCCTCCCCCCTGCTCTGCATAAGGGGACAGTGATGGCATTCACATATCGAGGCCTCCCCGGCATCGGACGACACAGGCAACAGGCTTGCTGGGAAGGCTCTGGGTTCCGGGCTTCACGGCACACTCCCTCCAGGCTCCTGGCCATCGTCGTCGTCCTCTTCCTCCTCCTCTCCGTGCTCCTGGGAGCTTGCAGACTGCTCCTGGGGAGTGGTGGAGGGCTGGCTGGCACCGGGTGGCTGGCTCATGCTGGCAACTAGGTCGGGGCAGCACCTGAGGGCTCTGGGCTGACAGGCCCTGTGGCCAAACAGACTCTGCCCCTTTAAGAGCTCCGGGCCTGGGCGGGAGCAGAAGAGTTTTCCTTGTTTGGCCCAGAGTAGCCACCAGGGGAAACTGGGAAGGGCTGGAGCTCCGCTAACTCAGAATGAGCATCTACACAGCGCTTATTCCGAATGAGCTAATTTGAGTTTGGAGTTACTCCTCGTAGAAAGAGGTTTACCAAACTCAAAATAAGCGCCCAGCTATTTCAAATTTATTTCAAAATAGAGGTTTGACTGTGTAGAGGCTATGAAAGTTAATTCAGAATAACGGCTGTTATTCCAAATTAACTTTGAAGTGTAGATATACCCTAAGAAAACTATATAAGGGTATGTCTACACTAGCAACCCTAGTTCGAACTACGGTGGCTAACGTAGTCATTCAAACTTGCAAATGAAGCCTGGGATTAAAATATCCCAGGCTTTATTTGCATGTTCCCGGCGCCGCCATTTTTAAATGCCCAGTAGTTCGAACTCCGTGCCCGTGGCTACACGCGGTACGGGCTACGTAGTTGGAACTAAAGCCCCTAATTCGGACTACCATTACTCCTCATTGAAGGAGTTACATGGCAGGAGTTATATGGGCATTATATTGCTCTCTGCTGGGGTCCACGTGTCCGGTGTACAGGTTCATAAGCCAGGACATGAGGGGGTAGGTTGCATCTCCCCCAATGTACAGTGGCATCTGCACATCCCCAACCACAAATTCCGGAAGAATGTGCCCGTCTCCAGCCTGCAGAAGAGGCTGGAGTTTAGAAAGATGCTTTGCCCGACCACCCCACAAAAATATCCATGAAGTGTTCACAGTGGTTGACAAGGCCCTGCAGCACCATCGAAAAGTAGCTCTTGCAATTGATGAAGTGGGCTGCTCGATGGTCCAGTGCTCGGAGGGGGATGTGGGTCCCATTGATGGCTCCCCTGTAGTTGGGGAACCCCAGAGCGGGGACCCCAGCCACAGTGGCATCCAGGTCTCCCATCCGGATGATCCTTTTCAGCAGCAGGAAGTTGATGGCCCTCACCACCTGCAGAAGGACACAGAGAAACACACAAAAGAGAGAATGAGATAGAGGGGATGCCTGAGCCCTTAGGAGGTATGCACCCTGTCTCTCTCCTCTGCCCCCCAAACACCCCAGAAGCCTCCGTATTAAGCTGCTCCTCCCCCAGCAGCAGAGCTGTGTGGGGGCAGAACTGTACAACCCCGTGGGGGACTGGGTTTTCCCCCACCCCCACAGCACTCCCCCCAGCCAGGACTCTCCCTACCCTCCTGTGCAGGGACTGCAGCCCCAGAGGGCCTTACCTGCATGCGGACAGCTCCAACAGTAGAATTGCCCATGCCAAACTGCAGCTGTCCAGGGTGGTGAGCTTCCAGAGGGTGATGGCAACCCTCTTCTCCAGGGGGATGGCTGCCGCAGGTGGGTGTCTTGTCTCTGGAGAGCAGGGGCAAGCCAGGCACACAGCTCCAGAAACGTCTCCTTCCTCAAGCAGTTCTGCAGCTACTGCTGGTCGTCCCACCATTCCATCACTATCTGTCCCACCAGTCGGAACCAGTGTCCTGCCTCCAGAAACACCTCTCCACAGTGTAGCCACCACATCCAGGGAGAGGGTCTCCACATTGAGCTCCGAGTCGAGCTCCTGCAGGAGCAGTACGGCGCCATGTGGACAAGAAGGTTTTGCAGAAGATCTTCTCCACAAAGAGGAGCAAGAAGCCTGCAGTGCAGACATAGCCTGGGTGTTAGGTTGGAATCATGGGCGATGGGTTTAAAAGGCAAGAGGAGTCAATGCCTCCCCGGTCTTTGTGCTCATCCACTCCCCTCAGCCCATCCCCATTCTGACTGTTCCTGAAGGCTCCCACAACCGGGTGTTGGAACTTGCAGACTAGTAACCCATCACCCCCATGGATGTTAACTTAAGAGTGAAAAGCCTTTCGGCTTGCTAGATCTATCAGCAAAAGACTGAATCTGCAAAAAACCATGAAGAGGTAAAAACCATTTAACAAGCACTTGTCTACCTGAATTTAGTGACAAAACCAGTTGTGCTTTGTTCTGCCTGCTGGACCTTAGCTTACAATTTGATTTACCTGTTTCATTTGTTTGTTCCTCAGGCACATCTCTAAAAAATCCAAGCAGAGATATTTAGATGCACATTCTGGACCTTTAGAGATTTTTAAATACACCCCCCCCCCCATCTAAAATACACATTTTAACTGTATTTGCTACCGTACAAAAACTTGCTTCCAAACTCTGCCTGTTCCTTCTATCACCCCGACTCCCTTTTACCTCACTGTTAAAGAGAGTCCATAAAGAGACAATGTCCCTTTTCAGCTCGGTCAGTGATGGAAATTCCCATTGGCCCCTGTGCTGGGCAAGGACAACCCCTTAGGATACATCCTTATACACATCAGCCCTGACGTATCAGGGTGCCTCCCTCTGATGTACCTAGGTACCCCCGTCTGTGACAGGATCAGGTCGGAGGGGCGTAAGGGAATGACAGAAGGGAGGTATATTAGCCTTAGACTGAGTAAATTTCTGTGCCCAGGGTAAACTGGCAGGGGCTAGTCCAGAACCAGGGGAACATGCGAGAATCAATCCAGACAATTTAGCACCCGGAGCTAATTAATTGGGCTTCCCGAGTTAAGTGAGCCACGGCTGGTTGGAACATCTGGGGCCGAGTAAAGAGCCAGTTGAGACTGGCTGTAAAGAGC